CCAGTCATCCCTTCCTTCCCTCACTCTGCCACTAGTCATCCCTTCCCTCACTCTGTCACCAGTCACCCCTTCCTTCCTTCACAATGACAGTTAGGGAGGGAGTGACTAGTGACAGAGAGAGGGATGGGGTGACTAGTGACAGAGAGAGGGATAGGTGACTAGTGACAGAGAGAAGGATGGGGTGACTAGTGACAGAGTGAGGAAGGGGGTGACTAGGGAGAGAGGGGGTGACTAGTGACAGAGGGAGGGAGCGGGTGACACAGTGACAGAGTTAGGGAGGGAGTAACTAGTGACAGAGAGAGGGATGGGGTGACTAGTGACAGTCACCCCCCCCTCACTCTGTCACCAGTCATCCCCTCACTCTGTCACTAGTCACCCCTTCCCTCCCTCACTCTGCCACTAGTCACCCATTCCCTCACTCTGTCACTAGTCTCCCATTCCCTCCCTCTGTCACTAGTCTCCCCCTCTCCTTCCCTCTGTCACTAGTCACCCACTCCCTCACTCTGTCACCAGTCACCCCCACTCACTGTGTCTCCCCCTCACTCTGCCACCACTCAACCCCTCCCTCACTCTGCCACCAGGTAACCCCTCACTCTGCCACCTGTCACAACCTCCCACACTCTTCCACCTGTCACCTTCTCCCTCACACACTCTGTCACCTGTCACATATGCATTCACACAGACACTATATACAAAAAAGCACATGTAGTCATCCAGACATGCACAAGTGCATTCACACAGACTCAAATACAAACATGCATTGATACACAGGTCTTCACAATACACACATCCAAAGGAATGCCGTATTATGAATTATATTTAACATTTATTAAAATGCACATATATTTGGCCTTCAAAGGGCCTGGGATCTAATTTTGCCCGGGGGCCCCAAAGGCTCTCAGTCCGCCCCTGGATATAAGGATGTGCATATAACAGATAAGTACTGGGGAAAGAGAAGGAACAGACTGATTTAGGACAGAAAGCTAAGGTAGGGGCTAGCTGCTCTTAAGTGTCATTTTAAGCATTAAGCATTTCCTGAGTCCAAGTTAGCCAATTTTAATATAGGTTATCTAATATGACACCTATAAGCTTGAACCTTGGAATCAAAGTAAATTACAGGCTACACCTTCATATTTGTAGCAGGGGACATTAGCCGTAATAATTTAAGTAGTAGTAAGCACAAGTTGGTTGTGGTGTGCCAGAACCAATGTATGGGGAAGGCCTGTAATAAGAGGGCAAAAAGTTGATGTTTACAAATAATCTTTATGGATTGGTGTCTAGAATGTCTGATATTTAGGCCGTCAATAGGTTGTCTAGTAGTGGTAGTGGACGTTGTATGCCTTTCAGTATGTTCTTTACGAGATAGGCAAACATTATTCGTGCTAGGGTTTGCACTTATGATGTGATGTGTATACCAGTGAGATAGAGTTTGATAGTAAAAAAGATAAATGCCACTATGGAGTCTAGGGAGTGAATGCCAGTACATCATCTTCCATGATGTACTGGTAGAGAGGGCATAGCTAGCCAGATATCTACTGAGAGCCAAGAGGCAATCTAGTCCAGGATTAGGTCTTGGTATGAGGGAGTTCTGACCCGACTGATGTTGGCTGTTGGGTGGGCTCTGAAGAAATCCTGCAAATTAGAATGAGACAACACGTCAGCGGCTTTATTGATGTGGCCTGGGATGTGTATGCAAGTAATGTGAAATTGTAGTGAAGCCGCTTACCATGTCAGTTGTCAAATTAAGTGATGAGGATCTGCCTTTATTTATAATGTCACATGCCGCTTTGTTGTCAGAGAAGCATTTTACGACTTTCCACTGCAATAGGTACCCCCATGCTTTGGAGACTGCTACTATAGGGTAGATTTCAAATAGAGCTGATGTAGTGTGGAATGAGGGCAGACCACGGATCTCAACTGGCCAAGAATCTCTGAACCAGGAGTCACCAAAGATGCAAACCATGTATGGACTGAAGCATTGGTCCATATGACTGGGAAAGATTCAGAGATTGATGGAAGAAACATAACTTTTCCATTTCACCGTGAAAGAAAACGAAGCCACATGCATCAGTCTGCCTAGGTGTGAGTATCTAGGGATACAGTACTCTTGTCGGTATGGAGAAGGGGAAGAAGGCACAGCAATCTGGAAATAAAGGCACAGCCCTGTGGAACAATACTCATGGCGAAGTTCAGCATGCCCAGTAAGGATTGTAGGTCCGTTCTGGTGCACGTGCCCTTAGCCAAAAAAACATTCCACCGACTCTCTAATATGCTGTACCTTCTCCATAGGTAAACTGGCTTGTAATGTGATGTGACTGAATACCCAAGAAAATTAGATTAGTTGTAGGGCCTACTGTTTTTTCCTGAGAAAGTGAAACCCCTATAGCTGAGAAGAGAGCCATTGTCTTGTAAATACTAATAGGGGACGACTGAAGTTTTTCTATAGTGAGAAAGTCATCTAGATAATGTTTGACCGATGGACATTTGGAAATGTAGAGAAGTAGCCAACATAAACTGTCAGCAAATATGTCAAAACAGTTTGGACTACTTTTAGCCCCAAAAGTCAAGCGTGTGTACCGTAGTAGTACTTGTTCTTCCACAGTATGCTATGCACATGCCACAGGGATGGATGTATGGATGAGAGCTTAAATGCGTTGGAAACGTCAGTTCTTCCTAACTAGGCTGCCTATGCCTGCCTTTAGTATGGCATGAACGGCATCATCCACTGTGGCAAATTGCAGGGAGAATTCCTCGGAGGGAATTAATAAGTTGATGCTAGGGGTAGAAAATGAATATGGAGCCAATAAATCATAAATCAGTCTCTTTTTATTGTTGAACTTTCCTGTGGCTATACATATAGCATTGGTACACCAGCATGAAAATTGGGACTTTGAGAAAGGACCTATTATAAACCTGTTGTTAAATTCTTTTATGAGTAATACCTCAATGCTGATGGGGTCAAAGAGGGCAGACTGTAAGTCTGGACACTCGTGAATACCAGTGGGGAGTGAGACAAGGCCAGTGTGAAAACAGTCGGTGGACCCTTTAACCAGGAAGTCGATTAAGTGATGAGAAGGGTGTGCCTGTAGGTAATATGCCAGATTGTCGATGCAAACTTCAGTTGGTCATTGTTTCGGGTACAGATGGTTAGTACACAGTTTTTGTGTGTGCCCTGTAACAAATTGAGCAGACATGCAACAATCTGCATGAGCTAAACCCGCAACTGCCTGAATTAAAATTATTGCAGATTTGAGCTTTTCCCAGATACACTATGGGTCTACCTAATTTGTCTTTTAGGCCTCTGTGTTCTGCAGTGGAAGAACCAAAGGAAGCACAACTAGTGGTAGGGAGGTTTGGATCCACTGGGCATAAGTTGATGGAGTGTGAGATAGATGCACATATAGCACAAGATGGTGTTTTTTGACCGGCGAACTGATGACAGAAGAAATGATGTCAAGCCTACTCCAGTTGGTGTGGGTATTAAATTAAGTAAGGGATGCTGCTGCTTTTGCTGAAAAAGAACGAGAAACCATTGTACTTTGCCCCAGGTCCACCAACTTATGCATGTACAAATCTAGCTCTTCCCTCCGGTGAGGAGAAGTGGAGCAGATTACGTCACGGTAAAGACCAAAGACAAGGACAAATTCAGGGATGGTGAGTTTCTGGTTGAGGCTGGGGTCTCTGGTTTTCAAAACAACAGAAAGATCACCATAGCAGTATGCTTTATTTTCAACTACTTCCTGAGAAGCAATAAGCAAGGAGACCAAGTTTTCGTCCTTGCCTTCCAGGATGTCTTTGCGAATGATTTGGGGCACAAAGTGGGCAGGAGTGATGATAATTACATAGTTAGGGGAAGTTATCACCATGGGTGACTTTAATCTTCCTGATGTGAACTGGAAAACAAAAATAGCTGCTTGTGCCAGGAGCACACATATTCTAAACTCCCTACTGGGATTGTCTCTAAAACAAGTCGTTGAGGAGCCAACTCGTAAAGAGGCCATACTAGATTTAGTGTTAACAAATGGAGATTTGGTATCATATATTACTGTAGGTGAAAGTTTAGGATCCAGTGATCATCAGTCAGTGTGGTTTAATATAAGAGCAGTGACTGAGTCACACCACACAAAAACAAAAGTTTTAGACTTTAGAAAAACAGACTTTTCTAAAATTAGAATATGTGTAAAGGAGTCATTATCAGACTGGAGCAATTTAAATGAAGTCCAAGAGAAATAGGATTATTTAAAAGTTGCACTGCTGAAGGCAACAGAAAATTGTATTAGGCTTGTCAGTAAAAGCCAAAAATTCAAGAAACCACTGTGGTACTCTGCAGATGTGGCCAAAGACAGAATGATCTATAAGATTAGGCAGAAAGAGGCTAAGCAAGTTATAAGAGCTTCCAAACCACACACAGAAGAGAAAATAGCACAGTCAGTAAAAAGCCAAATGGCAAATGATTTAGCTAAACTAGAAAAATGGTCAGAGTTGTGGCAACTGACATTTAATGTGGATAAGTGACGTAAAAACCCAAGGGCAGAGTACAGAATATTTGATAGAGTCCTAACCTCAACATCTGAGGAAAGAGATTTAGGGGTGATTATTTCTGATGACTTAAAGGTAGGCTGACAATGTAATAGAGCAGCCGGAAATGCTAGCAGAATGCTTGGTTGTTTAGGGAGAGGTATTAGCAGTAGAAAGAGGGGAGTGCTCATGCCATTATACAGAACACTGGTGAGACCTCACTTGGAGTATTGTATGCAGTACTGGAGACCGTATCTTCAGAAGAATATTGATACCTTAGAGAGAGTTCAGAGAAGGGCTAAACTGGTTCATGGATTGCAGGATAAAACTTACCAGGAAAGGTTAAAGGATCTTAATATGTATAGCTTGGAGGAAAGATGAGATGGGGGGATATGATTATATATTTAAATACATAAAGGGAATCAACACAGTAGAGGAGGAGACTATATTTAAAAGAAGAAAAACTACCACAACAAGAGGACATAGTCTTAAATTAGAGGGACAAAGGTTTAAAAATAATATCAGGGAGTATTACTTTACTGAGAGGGTAGTCTATGCATGGAATAGCCTTCCAGCTGAAGTGGTAGAGGTTAACACAGTAAAGGAGTTTAAGCATGCGTGGGATAGGCATTAGGCTATCCTAACTATAAGATAAGGCCAGGGACTAATGAAAGTATTTTGAAAATTGGGCAGACTAGATTGGCCAAATGGTTCTTATCTGCCGTCACATTCTATGTTTCTATGTTACATAGTTACATAGCTGAAAAGAGACTTGCGTCCATCAAGTTCAGCCTTCCTCCCTTTTTTTCTTTTTTTGCCGTTGATCAAAAAGATGTGAGCGGAAGTGCTAGGGGTTGGGTTTATGGTGGACTCATTACTGTGAGAGGGAGCTAGGGTGGGGATCTCTAAGGGAGGTACGGAAGAAGACGGCTGAAGAGATTCTAACTTCTCTAGTATAACACTAATAGTGTTAATAGAAGCGAGAAGTGACAACATTAAACCCTTAATTGCAGTAAAGTTGTTGGGTTGTAGGACCACTTCTGGCTAGGGAGTACAGGTTCACTGTAATTCAGCCACGAGTCTAGTGATTGTTCAGGAAGGTTGGGAATATGGGCTGCATGATTCCAGGTTCTCAGTAGGGGTGCTTGGACTGGACAGGGTGGAAGGCCTGGCTGGGGTCTCTGGTATAGCGAGTTCCTTGTCTTGTCCGGGGCTTGAGACACACTAAGAACTTAAACATGGGTAAAGATGAGGACTAGTTATGAGTGAGTGCATGTGTCAACTGGATCTTGCTAAGCCTGAGGTGAAAAATGACCTAGACTACAAGGAAGATGAGGTCCTGCTAGTGCCAAGAGGTGAGGGAGAGGCTCTATCTATGAGAAGGGCTGAGTTGGCGCAGGTCACTGAATGATGTGGTGGAAATGTTGCCCTCCCAGTGACTGTAACAAGACCCAATATAAGAGGGTGTGACTTGGTGATGCCCTGACTAGTAACCAACAGCGGTTAATGTGCATACAGTATTAATAACAGATAGACTGGATAAATTAAATTTTTATGCCTAAAAGGACGTAACCAATTTTCCTATACGTGAGATACTCTTTTACGATACATGTATACAATACATTTATTCTAATGTATTTCTAAAATAACAGTCAACCTAGGATGCATTTCTCAAATAAAATGCATAAAGAAGTTTGGCCTGTGGGGTCGTAAGTGAGCCATCTAGACCGTGTTTGGTTAAATTATACAAACGAATGCCACCAAACGTGAACATAAAACATAGAACAGAAATGTATGGATTGTATTGTGACGAACAAGGACACAAATGCGTATGTTCTCAAGAATGTGAGCCATGTGGCAGCCAAACGTAATGTACGTATGGACCCTTTCGGGAAAAACTCACAGTTTGTGGAGAACGTAACCTGGAAGCAGCGGTAAGGTAAGAGGTCAGCCTGGTACTTCCGGCAGGCTCCAACAGGAACGAGGAGTAGAGCAGAGCGTGTGGTTGGAAACAGCGGCTGCATCAAGGTAGGTTGAACGTCGAGGAGCTGGGTCTGCAAGTTGGGTATTCCTTTTGGGCTGGACAGACATGGCCGTGGGATGGAGTAGTCTTTCTTGCCAGGAGAATTTGGCTTGAAGGAGACAGCATGGGAACGAAGGCTCAGGTGAGTGAACCAGAACCGGAAGTCTAGGGTTCTGAATGAACCCAGTGGTGATGGTTCTGTCATGGAGGGGGCCTGGGTTTTTATAGTCTGGTAACCCCTCCCACAATTACAGGCTACGCCTTCATATATATCATATATCACATATAATGCTTAATATTTCATATATCACATATAATGCATCATGTTCATATATCACATATGCATCATAGATAATATATCATATATCACATTTCACATATAATGCATCATATATAACATGTTACATATAATGCATCAATATATATTATCATATATGACATATAATGCATTGGGGTGCAGCACAGCTTGCAGTGCCCCATTTTAACAAATTGAAATGTTCCATGCTTAATAGATCTTTACGCATTGTTTGAACTCACGTGGCTGTCTTTTTAGATGGTCTGATAGCTCATTGTACAGATAAGAAGTTTTATAATGAAAATACTGAAAGGTTAAAGTAGCTAATGAGGGAATTATTAAATTGAGAAAGATGAATGGAGCGGCTGGACTGATTTTGTAGTTTGTTAAAGGATCACAAAAGATGGCCTACCTTGTCTAACACAATACCACTATTCATACATTCGAATATCTGAATTAAATCTGACCACTTCAGCTAGAACTGTCTATTTAATACAAAACAACTGTCTAACAGTGTGTTACAGGAACGCAATCTGTAATTACCTTAGTGGTAGCCTTATACAATAAACACAACTTCTCTAAAGTTAAAAGCAGAACTGATTAGAGGAGTCCACAATAAAAGTCTAAGGTCACAATTTCCTGCCTCCTCTACAATTAAGGCCCAAATATTAAACCAGCTCCTCCAGTAATTGCTGGAAGAAGAGCCTGTATCTAATGGAAAGCTAAGGGAGTTTAGGGCAGGACAAAAAAGTATCGCACTGGAAAACAAGGATCCTTTCACTGTATTGCGTTCTCCATTAAAACACAGAATTAACCCCTTTAGTACAGAGTTCTTTCTGTTAAATTTGGGGATATGTCATTGCTGTTAGTCTGGTAAAATAAAACAGAACTCTGATGTGCATCAAGTCTGTGCAACAAATATGTAAATTTGGATTATTCTATGAATTTGTTGTTCATGGTTAGCCCTTGTGTGCCAATGGTGGGGATTTATGTACACCCCTTCATTCCCAATAACACAACATAACGTAACAGGTGAAAATAGGCTACAGCTTTTATTAAAATAATTCACCAATAAATATTGCCAATATTTAACTTAATATATTAATATACTATATTATAAACTTCACACATAAATACAACATAACTGTAGAACCTTACCAACCAATTATACATAACATCAGAACTCTCCTGGGCTCTCACCCTCCCCCCTCATTCCCACCAACACTGGCCACAAAACCTGGCTTTCCACCAAACACCATGCTAATCACTACCTGACCTTTGGATCAATGGGCACGTCTGTAAAAACCATACGTTAATTTAACCGAGGCAAGGGGAAGGATCAGTCCTGATTTTCTTTATACCCGTTGGACTCCCCTGTCCATCTCATGATTGGCAAGGACAACCACCCACCACAATGCCCTCCTAATTTTAGGGCTTAAAACACCCAGAAAGCCATGGCCTGCTCCAACCATTCCTATAATACCAAGTTAAAAAGGTCCAAAGCCACACATGTGAGGTACACCCCATCACTCCTAAAGTACACGGCTGCTTCCTGCTCAAAGATGTACAACACCTCAGTTGCTGCAGCAATGTGAAAGGAATGTCCCTCAAACTCTGAGCTCAGGATATCCAAGGCATCAAGCGCCAAGCAAAACACCCGGACGAACTGAAACCGGGACAGAAACCTAGCATCCCGGTGCACTAGGAGGGTGCCCCCACAAGGGGGACGGACAACCAGAAACTGTCAGAAACATGACACTGAGCACACCACTGACCCCGGAAACCCTTGCAAAGTGACCTTTACCCCATGCGAAAACATCCATGTAGGATCGGCGGGCAAACCAGCTCGCCAACCCACAATGCTCCAAAAGAGGCAAAAGTAAAATCAACCCAAGAGAGCACCACCATAAAGTCGGAGAAACACACCACCAGCAGAACAGTAAACAAGCCCAACAGCAGGACAGCAGTTCTATGTCTGGTTTTCTTTATGCTGGGTTCTGGGTTCATTCTTATATTCCGTCCTTGGATTTCCCAGTCTCTTGGATTCATTTAAATGTTTGTTTTATTTGCCACAGCCGTTTGTTTTCCACCATTCCTTTTGTTTCAGTGTTCCTGCAGGCAGCTGCTCAAGGCTTCTGCCCTTTCTTGCAGGTAAGTGCTATATAAGTCTTCTTTGGTTGTTTTAGCATACATTAGGCAGTGTAGGACCTGCCAGATATGGGGTACATCGGTGTTGTTGGCAGGCTTATGCAATGTATGATCATATAATGTGACTAAATCCCCATGATTTTCATATATAGTGCTTAGTTATTTCTCCTCTTGTTTTGCCTATCGTATCTTGTCTTGTTTTAGTTTGTATACCCAGCCCATGTACAGTCCTGTCCAGTCATGCCCATGTTATGTTCATGTTTCCCTCATGTCTTGTGTACATGTTCTGGGTTTAGCTTCCTATCCTTCTCCGGTTCTGGGTTCTATTAGTTCTGTCTTGTTTCGATGTTTGGTGTCTATCTCTAGTCTTGCCTTGTTTCTGTACTGGATACATTCTTGCTGCAGAGCCTCCCTATTCAGCTCTTGGAGGTCTGCTAAATTCCTGCTCCTAGCTCCTGGGATCCGCATAAGCTGAATCAGGGTTCTGGTATGTGGCTGCACAAACACTGGTGCTCAACACCAGGGGGCATGCGGTTACCCTGCACCAGACCCTGCTAATCCACCTCCTCACTGTGACTCCTACTCTGAACATCAGGCAAACTGGGTCCTGGTCCTCACACCGCCGCCCAGACAGTGTCTGGGTCCCGGGCACCGGACCGCCACCCTGAACTTGCACGAACAAAGCCTCTTTGAAGTATATTAACCAGTTCCATTGCAGGGGCCATAGTCACAGGGTAGGAGGCTGGCAAACAGGCTCCTCCAGAAACCAGTGGTGAGGCCATTTTCGCCACAGTCCTTCTCACCACATCAAAAATCACTCTTATGAGAGTGAAATGTAGATATTCTCTGATGGCTACAATAACTGCTAATGGCGTCAGATGCCCTCTTCAGCCCCTTCATGTAGCTTCTTCTATTACTATTACTATTACTACTGATAGTAGTAGAAGGTGGTTGGAGAGAGACCTGGGGTAGAATGCTAGAATATTCTCCCTCAGATCAGATAAATGAGTAATACGGTAGACAATGTGGCATTAGGTGAAGAATCGTAGTTAGCGGTCAATCAGGGAGTGAACACCAAAATGCTGTCTTAACTGGCTTTTTAAGAATGGGGACACCAGAATGTAAACTTAAAGGACAACCTCACCTCAAAACATATTTTTTGATATAATAATCCTTTCATCAAGTCGTGAAAGGAAATTGATTTTTTTAATGAAGCATATGTAAAAAAAAAAAAGAGAGAATCCTGTCATAGACCTTTAGTCTATAGGAAATTAATGCTTCGAATCATTGTAGAGGGTGAATATTGAATGTCACAAGCAAAGCCAATTGGAAAATCACTGGTGGCAAACCCGTCAAACCTTATTGTGATAGAATGCATGTAACATGCCAGCTGGGCAGGATGCCAATACGTGGGGGGTTATTTTTTTTTATTATAACCAAATCTCCAGTTCTCACTTCAAACCCAAGAAGAAAGAATGTGAAAAGGAAACATATTCTAGTCATTTTTGGATCTTTTGTCGGAGTATCAACGGGGAACATGAAAGAAAAACACATTATTTGTTTTATATTGAGTGTTTTTGAATCAGAAAAAGTCTGAAAAAATAAATGCTTTTTCTTGTATTTTTGATTCATCCTCCTTGACCTGGCAAAAAGTAAAAAAAAAAAGAGAAAATGATATTAAAGCTTTCATCCCTAGAACGTTCATAAAGAACTGACCTATTCAAAGTTTGGGATGAATTCTTATTTGTGTCAAGTGTTCACTTGACCTTCTCTGCTCTCTATTGTGAGATCTGCCAGCTGCACTTACAGCTATCAAGAAAATGAAATAAACAAATATAAAACGAAATGTAGCCCTTTCAATCCTAAATAAAATGATCTCCGATTTATTAAAGAGACAGTAACTGACAACATTGACAGTCCCACGGTCTCTCATTGGGGTGAGGAATACTTATCTGTGCAACATGTCTGTGCTTTGTCACTTACATCTCACCAGGAGGAGCTAAGTGTAGTAATGCACTCAGGTATCCACTTACTAAGTTCCACATGAGCGCACCTACCTTTACATGGGCATTAAAGGGTTTTCATTGTATGCACAGTTTATTTCATTCAAGGGTTTTCATTGTAAATACTAGGTTTTTGCACATCACCTGGGAAAAAACTGACATTTGCCCATAATCAAAAACTAGGGGGAGGGAGGGGGGGGGACACATTAACACATCATCCAAAATTAGTGAGAAAGAAGTCTGGACTTTCAATAATTTTTTTTTTATTTATTAATGTTGTTTGATATTTATTGTGTGTCTCAAAATATTTGTGACCCTTTCAATGAATCACTATTGTTTTGTATTCATAGTATGTAAGTTATATTTCTCAATTAAACTGGTTAAATTGGTGTGAGGCTGAAATTTAAAATGTAATACAACTGTGTGCTACGAGTCATTACCAAATTAATTAATACATAAAGTTCAACGCAGCTTTTAAATGCCAGCAGTAGGGGCAACTGTCACTCAGTTGATATTTTGGTAAATTTAAAATTCCTTGCAAAGATGTCATTAGTGTCACGATTATTCACACCAATATATAACGAACGTGGAATTTTACAAAAATATATGAATGACATTTTAAAAAAATGAAAATTGGGGGGGAGCAGACAAACTATATAATATGGCGTAAAATAGATGAGATGGCACTCACCATATTGGCCTGGTACAAAATAGATTGTGGTGCTACAGAAACCAGAGCGGCACACTCGAGTAATGCTGTAATAAATACAGCTATCTTTATTTGGAATTCACGAACAACAGTTCAGCTCAAACATAGGCGTTTAAAAAACAAAAGCCTGTATTTGGGCTAAAACATTCTTTGTGGGTGTCCAATTTCCTATAATATAAAGTCATCATGTTTTAGGCAACTAAGGAGTCCTGGTAAATATGTCACAGCATTGAGGCTGGTGGATTACCAGTCTTACATTTGATCTAGAACAACGATGAATAACACTTCAGTCCACATTTGTATTCACCCGATCACTCTATGACAATGTAAAAACAAAAATAAAAAATTCTGCTGCTACGATAGCAAATCATTACGTTACACATTTAAGAAGACAGCAGACAAACTGGTTTTATAGTGAATCTTTAATGAAGTTTTACAATTTGAAATGTACAAATGTTTGTAATGCTAAATCTACAAATATTTTAAAATAATTATAATGACTTTTGACACAATCTGTTTGAAACATATTTATGGGACATAAAAAAAATCTGTATATAGTGCAAGAAGAATTTATAATAAGTACTTAAATCTAAAGGAAAATTATGTTCTATAATAGTTACACACAGTGACGTGATTGGTTGGCTAACATTTCCTAAAGATCTGTTTGAGAACATGTATGTATAATGGTTTGGCAAAGGTCTTGGACTAAAATGTTTTTGTATAATGTTTGATGGAATACAAGTCTTACTTTTGATAACATGCGTACTTCTAATTTTTATTTGGAATGTTAACTTTAAAGATTCAAATGTATAACAAGAAGGAAGCAAATAAATTAATATATATAAATACATGAAATTCTGATGGTTGATTCAGATTAAATATTTCACAATTCATTGAGTTTTCTAACTTTTGAGTTTGGGTGCTATGCTTACTTAAAAGAGGCGTATCATCAAAAATGTAAATTGGAAATGTATATTGGGCACAGGGTTTCAAGACTTATAGAAGTTCAGGATAATTCTCATAATATTGCTGTTCTCACCTATTCAACATGATGATTATTAGGAGAAGAAGGGGCCACCAAGAGATCTCCAACAAATGGTGTGGGAAATATTTATATCTGGAATCTAAAACAAAATATCTAGATTTGGCACTTGGGTTCCAAGACTTTTCAGGATAATGCTAATAATGTTGTCGATCTCACATATTCTACATGATGACTAATAGGAGAAGAAGAGGCCACCAAGAAGTCTCCCACAAATGTTGTGAGAATAGGGGCTTCACCAATATCTTTTGTTTGGTAGGTAAAGTGAAGAATTGCTGCTGATTTAAATTGCTTTCCATAGATATAAGCTGTGGGAATTGGTGTGATAGTCATGTGATTGCCTCCTAATTTAACGGGAGTTCTTGAGGCTAACACTTTGAGTTTTGTATTGAATTTATCTCTTTTTCACTGTTTGCCTGCAGCTACATAGCTTTTTCCATAACTGCATTTGTGGTGCTTGATATTGACTTAACTAATTGGCTTCACAGTGGTGATCGTGGTCAGTTTATTCGGGCATCCAATTGCTTTTATTATAAACAGTTATTTAAACAGTTGGTGTTGGTTTAAATGATACCTTGCTATAGTAGAGATTTAGTATTCAATTCAGTCTATATTGTAGGGATCACTTGACTAATATGGGTCTTTGGGAAAATGACTAAGCAAGCTTTTCATATATCTTTGAGCAAAGTGAGGTTTCTAAATAGGGATTAACACCAACAAATCACATGATCTCCTATAAGAGTACATTCAGGGTTAAGAAACAATAAAGAATATGACATGTTTCCTTCATCCTATACTACAGCTAAAAACACAATATCAAAGGCTCAAATAATCCTCACAGGGTTATCACTAAAAAAGGAATTATTAGGAATTAGGAGCATTGCAGATTTTAATTGGTTCATTTGGTAAAAAAAAATCGATTGTGAATTATTCATTCTAACTTCTGTCCGTACTCCCACCTCTGATGCTCACCTTCAAGATTTCTCGAGGGCTGCACTGTTCCTGTGGAACTCGCTTCCCTCCTCTGTTAGATGCTCACCCAGTCTCCACTCCTTCAAAAAATCATTAAAAACCCACTTCTTCATAAAAGCGTATCAATTAAACTGTTAATAGCTCCTGACTGATTCCTCTTCTGCAACTGTCACTAGTCTAATACTATCCTTACCTTTTTGTGTCATTTTACCCCACTCCCTCTAGCATGTAAGCTCATTGAGCAGGGCCCTCAACCCCTCTGTTCCTGTGTGTCCAACTTGTCTGGTTACAACTACATGTCTGTTCGTCCACCCATTGTAAAGCGCTGCGGAATTTGATGGCGCTATATAAATATCATAATAATAATAATAATAATAATATTAATTGAATATCTTTGGATGAAATCAGCAATTTTTTCAAAATCGGTTATTTTTCCTTTTTTTTTTTTTTCTAAAATGTAAAACTCCCTTATTAACTCCACACAATTCCTCTTTTAGTGATTAAGATGATGGTTACATCATTAAAAAAGGATGATGTCATAATTGTTTGTTGAATTGTTGGAAAGCTAACAAACTTTTATTCCATAAAACACGTGGTATCTAGGGAAGGAGGCAGGTCAAGCGTTCATTCCACACTAATTTTAGGAGAAGCAGATGTTTGTGTGAAAACCTATGAATGCTTGATTCCACGTCTTGACTTATTACATTTAGTCTCTGCAGAGAGAAACTTAACATCTTATTCCACCCTTTAACACCTAGCAAGAACATTCTATCACTCTTAAGGAACCACAGGTTAATGTATCATTGCCAACCGTCTCCCTCTGTTATAAAGACTGATCATAAAAAGTGAGCTTTTGATAATCTCTCTATAGTCAGTGGGCGTCAGTGGGTGAGGGACAGTGCCCCTTCCAGTCTCTCTATTGTCCATGAGTAAAGATCAGTGCCCCCTCCCGTTTTCCTATAGTCAGTAGGTGAGGGTCACTAACGCCTCCTGTCTCTCTACTGTCACTGAGTGAGGGTTAGAGCCCCCTCCATTCTCTCTACTGTCTATGAGTGAAGGTCAGTGCCCCCTCCAGTCTCTATTGTCAGTGAGTGAGGGTCGGTAACCCCTACAGTCTCTCTATTGTCAGTGAGTGAGGGTCATTGCCCCCTCCAGTCTCTCTATTGTCAGTGAGTGAGGGTCAGTGCCCCCTATCAGTATCTCTAATGTCAGTGAGTGAGGGTCAGTACCCCCCAGTATCTCTATTGTCAGTGAGTGAGGGTCAGTGCCCCCTCCTGTCTCCCTTCTGTCAGTGATGTTCACTCGCATCCGCTACAGCAGAAGAGGTTTCTGCTCTGCTCCAGTCCTCCCACCCCACCACCTGCTCCTTAGATCCAATTCCCTCGCATCTCATGTCTTCATACTCTGTCTTCTTCTCTTTCTCTCTCACTAAAATTCTCAATCTCTCTCTCTCTCCTAGGGCATATTTTCATCGCCCTTCAAACATGCAACTGTAACCCCAATTCTAAAGAAGCCCAACAGTGACCCTAACTCCTCGTCCAACTACCGTCCTATCTCACTACTGCCTTTTGCATCCAAGATCCTTGAAAGAGTTGTGTATGCACTGACCAAAGCATCCAATGTTCTCCCGGCTGCAAAATCTTGTGGTCCTTACTCTATCCTAATATTCCTTGACCTTTCTGTGGCTTTTGATACTGTTGATCATCAACAGCTTCTTCTCATCCTCCACAATATCGGTCTACAAGATATTGCTCTCTCGTGGTGCTCCTCCTACCTCTTCAAACGCTCTTTTAGTGTTTCTTTCTCTGGCTCTGCTTCTTCTCCCCAACTCCTCTCTGTTGGTGTCCCCCAAGGTTCAGTTCTTGTTCCCCTTATGTTCTCTATCTATATAGACTCCCTTGGTAAACTCATTAGCTCCTTTGGCTTCCAATATCATTACTATGCGGATGATACGCAAATCTATCTGTCCTCTCCTGATCTCTCCTCGACCTTCTTGACTAGTGTCTCTAAATGTCTCTCTGCTATTTTGTAACCGGATGGCAGCCCACTTCCTTGAACTCAACTTGACCAAAACTGAAATTCAGATTTTTCCTCCCTCACGTGTTGCTACTCCTGTGTCTGTCTCCCTCCAATTCAACTGTGCTACAATCAGCTCCACCACGCAGGCGACCTCCATCTCAAAAATATGTTGTGCATCCGACCCTACTTAATGCCAGATGCGACTTAGGTGCTGGTCCATTCCACTGTCCTTTCTCGCCTTGATTACTGTAATCTGCTTCTCAGTGGTCTTACGTGCTCCCAACTTGTGCCGTTACAGTCCATAATAAATTCGGCAGCAAGGCTCATCTTCCTGTCTGCCCGCACCTCCCCCGCTTCACCCTTCTGTCAGTCCCTACATTGGCTTCCTGCAAGATATAGGGCTCAATTTAAAATTCTGGTTCTTGTTTTCAAATCTCTACATCTCTACACAAATATGTCCCGTCTAGACCCTTACGTCTTACCCTTACATCTAACTTCTGTCCATACTCCTACCTCTGATGCTCACCTTCCAGACTTCTCAAAGGCTGCACCATTCCTGTGGAACTCACTTCCCTCCTCCGCTAGATGCTCACCCAGTCTCCACGTCTTCAAAAAATCATTGAAAACCCACTTCATATAAGTGTATCAATTAAACTGTTAATAGCTCCCGACTGATTCCTCTCTTGCAACTGTAATTACTCTAATACTATCCTTACCTTCTGTGTCACTTTACCCCACTGCCTCTAGCATGTAAACCCTCAACCAGGGGCGGACTGAGAACCCTCAGGGCCCCCGAGCAAAATAAATCAAGGGCCCCCTTACAGGCCCCACCCATACTCTGCAGCAAGCGCCACCCTTGTCCCGCCTCCATGCACCGCCTCCAGCCACACCCTACACAATCTTTAGACACACGGAACAAAAGGGCAATAAGCCCTTCGAGGCCCCAGTAGAGACTACAATTGAGGGCTAATGGGCCATGGAGGGGGGTCTTTCTAGCGGAGGCTATCTCAGTGTCCTTTAGAGAGTGTGTTAGATAGAATCCCCTCAAAGCCCCATTAGAGACTACAATGGAGTCTAAAAGGCTTGGAAGGGGGTCTTTCTAACAGAGGCCATCTCAGCGTCCATTAGATATCCCCTGCTGGAAACAGTCGCCTCCAGGCCCCAGTAGAAACTACAATTGAGGGCTAATGGGCCATGGAGGGGATTTCTAGTAGAGGCTAGAGTCTAATGGGGCCTGGAGGGTGGTCTCTCCAACACTCTGGTTCCTATTCACAATATAGCAACACAACATAGCTCGCTGATACCTAAGCCAAGTTGGCTCCTCTTACCTTAATTACTGTTGCTGGCTGGCAGTCTGTGGGCTTGCTGGCTGCGGCTGGCAGGCTGCGGCTGGCAGGCTGTGGCTTGCTGGCTGTAAGCCTGTGGCTTGCTGGCTGTAAGCCTGTGGCTTGCTGTAGGCCTGTGGGCTGGCTGCTGGCCTGTGGGCTGGCTAACTGGCTGGCTACTGGCCAGCCTGTGGGTTGGCTGGCTGGCTACTGGGGCACTTGTAGATTATTTAAAGAAATAATCAATGCACAATAACCACTACTGCTCCAGAGTAAGTAGTCAAACCGTTTAAGAACAGTTTGACAACTTACCTGGGTCTGCTGGGATATGAGGCTGTAGTAGGGAATAGGAGCAGTGGTGCAATGTGTGTGAAAGGTTCAGTGTGTGTGTGGGGGTGTAGTGTGTGAATGTGTAGGGTGTGTGGGCAGTGTATGTGTGGCAATGTTAGTATGGGGGGCTGTGTATGGGGGTCTGTGTGTATATGGGTGGGCAGTGTATGTGTGTGTGTGAGGCAATGTGTGTAAATGTGTATGGTGTGTATGGGGTGTGTGTGGGGGCAGTGTGTTTATGGGGCTAGAGTTCACTCTCACCACTGCGACCACCAGGAATCCATGGGGGTTACAGTGTTGAGAGTGAACTCTAGCCCGTAGCTCCAGGGCTAGAGTTGACTCTCGCAAGAGCAGTAACGTTGCCATGGTAACCGCGGCAACGCTCTGTGCTCGCGCAAGAAGGACCCAGAGGAGCTGCAGGGTGAACTCCCAGGTCCTCTCTTCCTCCCCTGCCTGCACGGTGCCTGCGGACAGGGGAGGGGGGGCATTCTTCCCTCTCTTTCTCCCCCCTCCCCCAACTCTCTATTCCCCCTCTTTCTCCCCGTGTCTCATTCTTCCCTCTCTGTCTCTTTCTCCCCCTCCCCATCTCTCTATTCCCCCTCTTTCTCCCCGTGTCTCATTCTTCCCTCTCTGTCTCCCCATCTCTCTATTCCCCGTGTCTCATTCTTCCCTCTCTGTCTCTTTCTCCCCCTCCCCATCTCTCTATTCCCCCTCTTTCTCCCTGTGTCTCATTCTTCCCTCTCTGTCTCCC